GAAGAAAAGTAAAATACAAGAGCCATAGCACCTTACAATTCTGTCTCTCTTTTATAACCTAATTACGAACCTCTCGGAGAAAAAAAAAAAAAAAAAAAAAAAGAAGAGACCTTGAAAGATGATCTTCAGGAACACCTTACCCCGACAGCAAAAAAAAAAAAAAAGCAAGTAGAATACGCCACACCATAGCGTGGGCCCATACTTGCTATTTAATAGAAAGTAAAATGTAGAGAAGTACGTGTATGGATGAAAGTAGAATGCGCTACACCATAGCGTGGGCCCTTACTTGCTATTTAATAAAAAGTAAAATGTGGAGAAGTACGTGTATGAATGGAAGTAGAATGCATATGGGCTTGTACATGCTACTTAAATAAAGAAGAAAGAAGCACCTTTTTATCGTTACTCGTAGTGTAGCAAGTAGAATGCGCCACACTATAGCGTGGGCTCGTGCTTGCTGCATTAAAAAAAAAAAAAAAAAAAGTATTTCATCAGTTGTCATTGGATAGATGTAGTGTATTTGTTTTTAGCATATGCATAGCAAGTAGAATGCACCACACCATAACATGAGCTCGTGCTTGCTGCTTTAAAAAGAAGGGGGAATTATGAATTCAGTAAGTAAAAGCAAGGAATGGATCGAAAATGAGTGTGTACCAGTGGGTCGAGCTAAATAAGGAGGTAAGACAGGAAGAAGAGCAGAAGCAGAAATAGCAGAAGGAGCTAAGGAAGTGAAAGAAGCCAAAGAAACCAATGAAGAGAAAGAAGCTGAAGAAGTCAGAGATGTCTGAGAAGCCAACAAACCTGACGAAGCAGAAGAAGCTGACGAAGCAGAAGAAGCTGATAAAGCAGAAGAAGCCAGAGAAACAAGAAGCAGCAAGAAGAAGCAGATGTATAAGAAGCAGAAAAGTGGAAGGAGCGGTGGAAGCAGAAAGGGTGGGAAATATGCATAGGGTCTTTGTTAGGGCTAGGAATACACTATCATAGTGCATTATATACATGCTCGAGTTTCAAGCCTCCTTTGTCTTCATTACGTGACCAGCACATGACATCTGATTAAGTTATAGTTGTTTTTATGTTTGGAAGTATATATATATTAGTGCCGAGAGGTTCGTAATTAGGTTATAAAAGAGAGACAGAATTGTAAGGTGCTATGGCTCTTGTATTTTACTTTTCTTC